TCTGTTGTGCTAAAATGTGTATATAATGGAAGACTGCTTATTACAATTTAATGTCTTGTTATATTTACCATAGAAACATATCAATAAATCTTTGCATACAAATTTTAATTTTCAGTCACACTTCTAGAGGAGCCAAATAGCCATGGAGCATTGTGTAAGATTATCTTTTCTATTTTGAATATTTTGTATATATTTGTGAATATAAATAACACAATTTGCCAATAAAATAAATAGGGTAAGCATTTCCTGATTTGTGTACTGGTTTTTAGTTCTTAGTACCAAACAAGTCATAAAACGCTTAATAAAATACTGTCTCTGCAAATGTAAAATTTATGAATTCACACATCCCTGGTTGATTTAATGTGAAATAATAATGCACTATTTAATGCTTAAACATGGCTAGAAGCAACGCTGGGCTATCAAGATGTACGATGGAATAATAGATTTTATAAGATGGATAACATTCCTGTCTCGAAAAGCTTGTTTAAAGGTGTTGTACAGATATATTAAACTATATGTAATTTATATACTAACTTAACGCTGTGGGCCTTTTCTGGAAACCCTTAAGTATTGATGTTATTGCTTATACAGTGCTGGACATAACAAACAGTACCAAAATGAAACAAAAATAAATAATTACAATAAAAAAAGTTCTTGTTTTTTTGTCTTAATTGACTTAATCAATAGGGTCATGTAAAAAATAATGTGCTAATGTGAACCTTCATAGCCACCAGTATCTTGGTTAGTACTAAGGGCAATATTTCTAAAGCAGTGAATCAGACACTATCTGCAGGTGAATCTTCCAGATGCATGTGTTTTTGACCATGATTTATTCACCACCAGTGAATGCTTGGTAAAAGTGACAATGATTTGCTTTATATAAATATGCCCCTAAGATTTTAAGCTGGCCTACATTGTGTACACTTATATGTTAATATAACAAAGATATTTCCACATTCAATGGACCCAGGAACCCTGTGAGAGTACATGTTAGTATAGACTGCATACAACCCTTCACCATAATTTTAGTGAAAACATATCCATCTTGCTGGCATTTTCTTCCTGCCAACGTAGCTATGCTCAGAATGTCTATTGAAGTCTAAGGTACTCATAGTTTGATAACCACCTACGTATGCAAATTGCACAGCAAGCATCTTACCTTATCAAGAGAATGCCTTGATTGTTACTGCTAAACAGCTACTGCTAAATCCTATAAGACACTCCTTTACATCTCGTTTCTAATCAATTGCTGTAAAATATCTATGATTGGTTTCTGTGGCAGTTTATGAATAAGAAATAACATTGTACACACTCCCAAAAATGTTAAACATATTTTTTTAGCGTAGAAGAATCAGAGTACCTGCTAACTTCATGTTTCTCTCAGGGACACTATGAGATTTCTGCACTTGAGTTTCTAAGTTTGCACATCAACCTTCCATAATTAGGAGTTCCCACCTTTTGTTTTTTCATTGACTGGAATGCCAAAAACTTGGGAAATTACGGCAAGGAGACACGTTTAATGTATTCAAGACACATAAGAAACCAGGGATTGACTAAGCCCACCAACATATCTTGACACTTTAGGTATGGAAAAAAAATTAGAAAATTGGTCAGCCATTACTAGATTACAGCACTGTAACATTCTTCTGACCACTTATGCACTGTTCTTTAAGTAAGGGTACCCAAAACCTTACTATGGCTTTCCACATGGTAAATAGAAGGAGGATTCCACACAACTAGTGAAAACATTGTTCACATTATTAGGACGAGGTTGAAATACACAATGTGAATGCACCACTCTTGGTCAGTTTTAATTAGAATTAAAAGAATGGTTATTTCATAACCATCACACTAAGAGTGGTGGCTGTTTGACTTGGCCATGTAGTCAGTGCAAATATCTGTACTAGCTAAACTTCATTAGGGAACTATCTATTCAAATTAAATTGAGCTTTTGTAATGATATCTGTGGGTATTTTGCAACCATTTTACCATAATTGACCATAAAAAAAATCAAAGGGTTCACAAAAAATAAAATATGAACTAACTAGGAGTTAATGAACTAACTCCAAATAGCCTAGCCACCCCTCTGGACCCTGTTACACATAGCAGCCATAAGGCCCATTCTGCCAGTGTAGTGGTCTGTACACTATATACTGCAATACACATCCCTGGAGTGAGTATCCATCAAATGTCTCCCAATTACAATCTCTCAGTGGTCAGTGCAGCCACATGACTGTGCTGGCCAATGAGAAGCATATCGTTCCGAAGAGAGAAGAAAGCAGATCCACGTGAGGCAAAGCACTACATTGAGGCAGTAAAAAGCACTGATAGGTCACATTTAAACCCCTGATGCCCCCCCCCCAGTTAACAACTTTACTGCCCTGTCACTAGTGCCATTAGTACAGTGTACATATTTTTCTATTGATCACTGTATTAGTGTCACAGGAGACTTCAGATAATGTTATCGTTAGCATCCCTCTCAGATAGCATTAGCTTGCCCACCACTACATCAGTCATCACATTTAACCCTTTGGTTGCCAAGAACACGCTCACATAGACAATAGACCTCCATTGATAGTATAGTGTCTGAATGGATCAATATCTTTGATCAGATCAGCACTATACCAGTGTTCATAATTGTATAGTGTCTCTAAAAATGCAGCGTTAGCAGGATCAGCCCCGACCCTTCCAGCAACTCCCCATGCTTAACCCCCACCCCTTCTCCCCCAGCAAGTGCAGTGTTAGTAGATCACTGTCACTTGATACATTGCACACAAAACTGCAGGGTTAGAAAGACCAGGCATGATCTCTGCTAGCACTAACATTTAAATTTTCATTGTAGTTCAAGCAGTAAATGACAGCCAGGTGCCTTTTTCTCATGAGTTGCACTAGGTACCTTTAAATTAAGTGGCCAAAATGTCCAACAAAAGGTACTCTAGTGAAGAGGCCTACAGGATTCTGAACATGTCAGATGAAAGTGAAGGGGAAGCTTCACAGACAGAATTAGGCTCAGAATACAATCCTGTAGACAACAGCGGCACCCTAACAGATAGTTCAGATGATTGAGTAGGGGTCCTGTTAAAGTCAGGCATACCTGACCCTTTTCCCAGGTTGCTGAGGTTCTCATATGATTCTCATATGCAGCAGAGTGCCAAAACTAGTACCGCTCTAACCTTTTGGTGAACTGGCGAGCACCAGCGGCCTAGTACATCCTGGTCTTTTTCATACCAGTACTGCAGTATCACATGGTGATGTGGTGAGTCCCATAAGTGCAGTACAAGCTGGTGCGGTGGCTAGCACAAGTAGTGTCCCACAGCCACCAAGAATTTGAACACAGGCCCGTGGAGCCCATAGTGTTCTTCCAGATGTTCTTGCAAATCCTGATTGGCAGGCCACAAATTCTGCAGTAGACGTATTTCTCTGCCCAACCCCAAATTCAGGTGGAAATAGCAAATCTGACTACTCCCCTTGATTTATGGGTGCTGTTTTTCACAGAAGATCTGTATGGATTGATTGTGGATTAAAGAAATGTATACGCACAACAATTTATCGTTGCCAACCCAAATTCAAACCTTGCCAGATCATTTGCATGGAAACCTATTACAATTTTCGAATTTAAAGTTTTTTTGGGCTTAACCCTCAACATGGGCATTACTAAAAAAAAGATGAATTGCGGTTGTATTGATCCACAGACCCGATCCATCATATGCCCGTGTTCTCTGCTTCCACGGCCAGGACATATTTATGAGAATCTAATGCAATATATGCATTTCAATTACAATACATTCTGTTGTCCTTGGGGTGAATTTTACCGGCTCCATAAAATTAAGCCCCTCGTAAATCACCTTAACCAGAAATTTGCAGATGTATATGCTCCAGAGCAAAACTTCTACGTTGAAGAGTCCCTTATTAATTTTTCTGGCCACCCTACATTCAAACAATTCTCTCCAGCAAGCATGCCAGATATGGGGTCAAAAATGTATAAGACCTGTTAGAGGGCAAACAGGTTATACATGTAATTTTTGGATTTACGAGGGAAAAGATAGTCACGTAGAGCCCCTCGGATGTCCACACTACATGGGTAGCAGTGTCAAGATAGTTTGAGACTTGGTACCACCCTTTTTCTCAAATGGGGTACCACTTACACATGGACAATTTTTATACAAGTGTGCCACTATTTAGACATTTGAACAATCTTGGAATTTGCGCATGTGGCACCATGTGACCAAATCACTGGGGCTTTCAACAACGGCTTGTAAATACCCATCTTAAAAAGAGGGAGAAAGCCTGATTGAAAAGCGATGAATTGCTTGTAGTGAAGTCAAACAAATGGGATGTTTTCGTCCTGTCTTCCATTCACGCAGCTACGACCATCCAAATTTTCACGGCAGCTGGTATTGTTGAGAAGCCCCTCTGTGTCCACGACTATAATCTTAACATGGGAGAGGTGGACTTCAATGACCAGATGATGAAACCGTACTTAGTTTCCCGTAAAGCCAGACACTGGTACACTGTATACCTATTTCTCTACACAACGCTTTTATGCTTTACAAAGCAACTGGAAGAAATGGATCCTTCCTAAAAGTCCAGGAACAGATCATCATGGCTCTTTTGTATCCAGAAGGTGCTGTGGCCCAAACCCCCAACCCAGATGCAGTGAGCTGGCTGCATGAGAGGCATTTTCTTGATGCCATCCCTGGTACCCCAACCCAAAAGTCATCCCAAAAAAAATGTTTGTGTCTGTAGCAGACATGGAATTAGGCTTAACACCCAACACCCGCTTTTTTTGTTCATCCTGTCCTGACCAACCTGGTCTCTGCCTCAAGGACTTCTTCCGTCGCTACCATACTGTCAGGAATGGACTGGCCAGCAATGGTGGGACTCACCTGCCTTTTGATCTGCAGTACCAGGGCTGGCCAGCGGTTGCTCCCAGCAATCAGAGACTCAACTTTGCAGCCAGCTAACACCTGGAACTGATTATGCTGGGGTATTTAAGGGATGGCCAGACCCACAGACTCTGCCTTGGTGTTGTGTTTGTCCTGGGCCTTGTATCCTGTTTCTGTCCTGCATCCTGTTTCTGAACCGCTGCTGACTTCTCCTGCTCTGATCCCGGCTCGCTCCTGACCATCCCTCTGCCTGACCCTCTGTACCACGCTGCTTGCTACCTGTTTCTGATCCCTGGCTTGTGACCCTGACCATCCCTCTGTCTGACCCTCTGTACTACGCTGCTTGCTACCTGCTGAACCTGGCCTGTGACCCCGACCAATCTCCGCTTGCTCCCCCTGTACCTACCTGCCCTATTGATATTGACCCGCTGCCTGCCCTGACGACGCTTGCTTGTATGTACTGTTATCTGTGGGTGGTTGGTTTGGTTTGGTTGCACTGTATTATGTTTTAGTATTGCACTGCGTTTATGTTTGTATTGTTAGTGTTAATAAATTATATTGTTTATAACATATCTGAGGTCTGCGTTTCCTGCGTCAGCCACACACACCTCTGGTCACACCTGGGAGCCCTGACATTACACCAAGGCCAATCCTGACCAGAAGTGGCTGCACAGGGAAGCCATCTTGGCTTGTTGCTGGGAAGGATGGATCTGGATGAGGTTGTGTATTTATATCTGCTAGTGTTTGATGACAGGGAGTATGCTTATCAAACTCTGAAGGAGTATCCCCGGGATGAACTGCTAGAATGTATACGGCTCGCTCATGTTTCTAGTAGATCAGGGCACAGAGTTCTCTGAGGTGCAGCCTTTGATTGAGGTTTGTGCTGAGTTGGTTTCATCTGGTTCCCCCGAATGCAGGGATGAATTTTTTGCCACCATTTAGTGCAGACCAGGTAAGTCCCTGGTGTGGTTATTAGAGGATGATGTGGGTTACTTTCTGGAGCGTTATTCCACATGTTCACAACACAGGTACTAAGAGATTTGGTATAAACGCAGTGCAGTCATTGACCAGACAGGCTTTGTGTAAGCTCAGCTTTGTTCAACCCATACTGCAGACATGGACAGACTTGTTGCACCCAGCCTCAGTCAGCTTAGAAAAACCCAGTCCTGCTTCTAACTCTACTCCTGTATTCCCACCAGCTCCTCCAGTTACAGCCCAGTATACTTGGCTATCTACCGCATGTCAGTACCCTGTTCCCACTCGCTGCACCTATCCTGCCTTTAACCCTGTAAAGAAGTCCTCTGTAGCAACTGCCTCCCTCTCCTGTTCCATCCTCCAGTTTTTCTCTGTCTCCAGCTGCTCCATTCGTTTGCAGACCTGCGTTTACTTGCAGTGCTCCAGTAGTTAAAACCAGAAAAAAGCGAAAATTCTTTCCAACCAATACCATCCTGCCAGTATCCAAACCAGTGAACCTGCCTTCCGTGACTCAGCCTGAAGCCCCTACTCAGCCTGAAGCCTCTACTCAGCCTGAAGCCTCTACTCAGCCTGAAGCCTCTACTCAGCCTGATGCCTCTACTCAGCCTGATGCCTCTCTTCAGCCTGATGCCTCTCTTCAGCCTGATTGCCTCTCTTCAGCCTGAAGCCTCTACTCAGCCTGAAGCCTCTACTCAGCCTGAAGCCTCTACTCAGCCTGATGCCTGCATTCAGCCTGATGCCGCTACTCAGCATGATGAACTGATCCAGCCCGACGATCCTATTAGGCCAGTTGACTCGATGCCCGCTGTTGATCCCAGATGATCCGGTACCTGATCCAGTGCCCGCTGTCGTGCCAAGTTGACTCAGAGCCCCGCTGTCATACCTGGTGACCCCGTGTGCCACTGCCTTGCCAGATGACGCGGTGCCCGCTGGCAAGCCAAATGGACCTGATGCCTGGTGACCCAGTGCCCGCTGTCATACCTGGTGACCCGATGCCCGCTGTCGAGCCAGACAATCCGATACCTGATGACCTGTGCACCACTGTCGTGCCTGTTGACTCGGAGCCCACTGTCTTACCAGACGACTCGGTGCCCGCAGTCTCAAGACGACTCGGTGCCCGCAGGGTCTTGCCAGACGACTCGGTGCCCGCAGTCTTGCCAGACGACTCGGTGCCCGCAGTCTTGCATCTAGACGACTCTATTCTCGCCGCCGTTCCGCCAGTTGACTCGGTGCCCGCAGTTCTTGCCAGACCGACTCGGTGCCCGCAGTCCATGACGACTTGCCAGAACGACTCGGTGCAGCGACTCGGTGCCGCATGTTTTGGCCCGCCAGTCGACTCGGATGCCCCCGCAGTCTTGCCAGACGACTCGGTGCCCCGCATTCCTTGCCAGACGACGTCGGGATGCCGTGCCAGGTTCCGCCAGTTTGACTCGGTGCCCGCAGTCTTGCCAGACGACTCGGTGCCCGCAGTCTTGCCAGACGACTCGGTGCCCCGCAGTCTTGCCAGACGACTTGTGCCCCGCCTGTTGCCGCCATTGACTCATCGAATGCCCGCAGTCTTGCCAGACGACTCGGTGCCCGCGTTCTGGTGCCAGGGTGCGACTCCTGGTGCCCGCAGTCTTGCCAGACGACTCGGTGCCCGCAGTTTGTCCCTCCGCCAGTTGACGGTCGAGGCCCGAGCCTGTTTCCACCGCCTGGTTGACTCGCGTGCCCGCAGTCTTGCCCGACGACTCGGTGCCCATGTCGTGCCTGGTGAACCAAGGATGCCCGCGCTTCGCATCGGGGGTCCCGCGCCTTGGGGGCCCGAGACCTGTTGCTTGCTTTCCGCCTGAGGGCCCTGAGACCTGTCCCACTCCGGCGCCACGCATCTGGGGGTCCCATCTGGGCGCCCGCCCGCCGCACCGCCTGAGGCTCCTAAGACCTGTCGCTCCATCTGGGGGTTCCGTCGGCCCGCCGCTCCGCCCTAGGGCCTGATACCTTCGCTCCAACTGGGGTCCGGCGCCTCCTCCGCTCCGCCTGAGGCGCCCGAGACCTTCACTCCATCTGGGTCCCTGCACCGCCGCTCCGCCTGAGGGCCCGAGAACCTGTAGTTCCGCCTGGGGGTCCTGGCGCACCCGCCGCCCCGCCTGGGGGCACCGAGGCCTGTGCCCCGTCATGGGGGGACCGAGCCTTTCGCCCCGCCCCGGGGGCCCCGGTGCCTCCGCCCCACCCGGGCCCGGTGCCTGCCGCCCCTCCCTGGCCCGGTGCCTGCCGCCCGCGCCCGGGGGCCCTGCCCTGCTTGCTTCCGCCTGGTGGCCCCAGCTGCCTGCTGTTCTCCCGGTACCCCAGTGCCTTGCCCGATCCAGCCCCCATGTGCCTCTGCCCGGAGTCCAGCCCGTGTGCCCCTTTCCCGGAGTCCGCCCGATTTTTGCCTCTGCCCGGTGTGCCTCTGCCCGGGCCAGCCCGATGGCCTCTGCCCGGAGTCCCCCCCCGATGTCCTTGCCCGGGTCCCCCGATGTGCCTCTGCCCGGAGTCCCGCCCGTTGCCCTTTCCCGGTGTGTGCCCATACCCCGGGTCCGCCCGGTGTGCCTCTGCCCGTGTGGCCTCTGCCCCGGGGCCGCCCATTGCCTCTGCCGGGTACCGCTGCCCGGAGTCCTCCCGGGGTTTCCAGTCTTTTATATCCCGCCCCGTTAACCCGACCCGGGGGGTGGAACATTTTTTCCCCCTAGGGCTTGTTTGGAGCGTCCTGAGGCCCCTCCCTTTAGGGGGGGGGGGACTGTCAAATGGACGGCCCGCAAAGGGGGGGACTCCCTGCCTTTTGATCCTACCAGGGTGGGCCCGCGGTTGCTCCCCGCAATCAGAGACTCAACTTTGCACCCGCTAACCCGGGGAAATGATTATGCTGGGGTATTTAAGGGGGTGGCCGACCCAAACTCTGCCTTTGGGGTTTTGGGGTTTTCCTGGGCCCTGTATCCGTTTCTGTCCTGCATCCTTTTTTTGAACCGCTGCTGACTTCTCCTGCTCTACCCGGCTTTGCTCCCTGACCATTTCCCCTCCCCTGACCCCCCCTGTACTCGCTGCTTGCTACCCGCGAACCGGGGGTGTGACCCCGACCAAACCCGCTTTGCTCCCCTGTACCACCCTGCCCTATTTAATTGAACCCGGGCCCGCCTGCACGCTTGCTTTTATTACTGTTTCGGGGTGGTTTGGTTTGGTTTGGTTTCACTGTATTATGTTTTAGTATTGCCTGCGTTTTTTTTTGTATTGTTAGTGTTTAAAAAAATTATATTGTTTATAACAATCTGAGGTCGCGTTTCCCCGCGTCCCGCCACACACCTCTGGGCACACCTGGGGGCCCTGACAAACACTATGGGGTATTTGTATGGGACGCACGGGACATCTAGGGGCACATAATACACACTCCTAAATCTGCTGTTTTCAGTTAAAAAAAAGTTAAATAGGAAAAAATTTAAAAAAAAAAAGTAAACAAAAATTAAATACCCCCCAAAAAAGTTGTCATTTTATTGATTTTCGTTTTTTTTGATATGTTTTATTGTTAACATTGTGTTTTTTTTTCAGTAAGGAGTGAATTATTCAAAAATTCATTCGACTGATTCGGCGAATTTGTGAAAAAATTTTTATTCGATCGAATATATTCGCTGCAAAATTTAACTTTTAAAAGGGTGTTTCTAGGCTTCAGAGAGCCCTTTATATTAGGCAGAACACTGTACCTTTTAATTTTAAAACCCTTGGATCTGCTGGGGAAAAGAAATAATACTGACAGTCGTAGACATCGATGGTGCCGTCGATCTTAGAATCACCCCACCCCCTT